CGTGATGAACGCGTGGGTCAATGAACTCGTGAATGGCTGGACGGCTTATGATAAACAAAAATGTTTGAGTTATGGAGTTTGACTTTTTTTTTCAAACTACGCTGATAGCCTTTGGAGGCTATAACAGCGTTACCCTGGCTAGTAGGTGAGCTCTCGGGGCTCAAACCGGAGGTGTTACTAACACTGGCCCTAGCACTGTGACCCACAGAGAAGATCCGGAGAGAAACTCAGTGGGCCTTGTCTGTGGGTTAGTTTACTTGCCGAGCTTACTTGTTTTATGTATTAAATTGTGATTTTTTTTTTCCTTACATTATAAGTTAGATTAGTTTTCGTTATCGTGTTGTTTTATCGTATGAATTGTAAGGATCGTTGTTGTACAAATTAAGCACTATGTCTTGTTTTACCGAGAGGGCTGGTGGTCGTGGCGCCGACGACCGCTAGTCCGGCGTCCCGAGGGGAAGGGTGACGGGAGAGATGTGCTCCGCACTAAGCGCTTCACTTTCCCCCCTTTGCCTTTTCATGAGTTTTGTCTCATGCGAGGTTTGGACGTTGGTTGTTGAGAGACAGGACGTTTTAGTCGGTTCGACTCCGACATGCCCCGCCCTCCATCCCCAGTGAAGGGCGGAAGTCCGGCGATTTCTTCCAGACAAAAAAAAAATTGTCTTGTTTTGTCGTGCGCACATAACTTATGTTGCAAGCCAGATTTTGTTAATTTTTACTTGTGTATTTTATGTATCTTTTTAGCTTGTGATGTGTATTGTGAGCCGAATAAATAATTAACTTATAAATTGTTGCCGATCGGGAATCGAACTCGTGCTCCGTGGTACAGTAGTCAGTTTAACGAAGCTTTATTCTGATCGATAACATTCTATCACAATACGAAAACAAGTCACGATTTCAAATAATACGAATTAATAGTACAAAGATGAAAAGTGTGACGTCTAGGTTATTGACATTATGGTTTGAACAATAACATTATCTATTAACGATATATATAAACAAAGATAATTTGTTAAAAGACACGCAAGTGGAAAATTGGTTTGCGTTACTATACTTGAGACCTTAGAACTTGTATCTCAAGGTGGGTGGCGCATTTACCTTGTGGATGTCTATGGGCTCCAGTAACCACTTAATAACAGGTGGGCTGTGAGATTGTCCACCCATCTAAGCAATAAAAAAAAAAAACTAGTTTCTTTAGTGTTGATGATAGGGCGTCTTATGAACTCGCATGGGTAGGTACCGCCACGGTATTTCTGCCGTGAAGCAGTAATGCTGTGGGGCAACCGTTGTACTGTAAAAACTGTGACTTACTACTCATATATCAATATGTGCGGCGGCATTGACGTAGTTGATGTCTATGGACTCCGGTGACCGCTTAACACCAGGTGGGCCGTGAGCTCGTCTACCCACCTTAGCAATAAATAAATAAAAAAACGTTTTGCCGGTCCTGATAATTGGTCATAGTAATAAAATTATCGTTTTGTCAACGGTCCTAAATAGTATTCAAGTTTCATGTTTAAATTTCAAGTTAATCGGACGTCTTATAGTTTGCTGGAAATACGTTGAAACATTTTCCGTTACACAGATTAATAGGTTACAGGTCAAGTTATGTAGCGTGTTGAATAAATAAAATGAAACTGATATTAACAAAATAAAATGACTAAAAATGTAATTGAAGTCAGCGGTAGGTCAGCCCTTTAGCTCTGCCTCTGGCATTGCCGACGTACATGGGTGGTAACCACTCACCATCAAATGGGTCGTATACTCGTCTGCCTACAAGGGCCATAAAAAAATCAATTAAATATGTATTATTAATGATAACTCAAAAGCTACCAGTCAGACCTGTTTTTTTTTTTGCTTATATGGGTGAAGGAGCTCACAGCCCACCTGATGTTAAGTGGCTACTGGAGCCCATAGACATCTACAAGTAAATGCGCCACCCACCCTGAGATATAACTTCTAAGGTCTCAAGTATAGTTACAACGGCTGCCCCACCCTTGCATTACTGCTTCACGGCAGAAATAGGCAGGGCGGTGGTACCTACTCGCGCGGACACACAAGAGGTCCTACCACGTTAAGAATGGTATCACATAGAATTATCAGCTTTGAAATAAATAAATAAAAACATCAGAAACGCTTCACCTAGACAAAAGTTCCGAGACAACAAACACTCACAAAAAAATTACGGTCGAGGTGAGAGCCTCCTTTTTTTTTGAAAGCGGTTAAAAAAAACAATTGCGTGTTATTGAACGCTCCGCGGAGTTCTCTAAAACCTTTCTTTGTCTGTGAATAAATTATTCATTCGTAACCGGAAACATCTGTAATGTGAACGTCGGTGTGTCAATGTTACTATCAGTCTGTTATGATTCATTTTAACAGTGCATCGCGCTCTTTAAAAACAAGACCAAGCTGTATACAGAATTTAATAATTCATACAAACTTTTTGATAACACGCTTCCGATCGATCATTTCTTTTACACATATTACAATAATACCATTGTTTAAGATCATTTTTATCGAAGTGCCACTGATAAAGCCGTTTTTCTATTTGATCTGCTTGACGGGTATTGGAGTTTTTTATTTGTTAAATGGGCAGACGAGGTCACGGTCTACATGGTGGTAAGGGATTACCAGGCCTATAGATATCATAAACGTAAATATAGACACCCTTCTTAAGACATGCTTTTTTTTATTGCATACGCCCTCCCTGTTGGTGAGTGGTTACCGTCGCCCATGGACTTCAGCAATGCCAGGAGCAGAGCCAAGTCGCCGCCTACATAGTCTCAGTCTTGAGTTTAAAGGATTTATCTTTACCCTTAGAAATATAGATTATATATATATAGAATAGAAATAGGCAGGGCTGTGCTACACACCCGTGCGGGCTCACATGATAGAACATATACCACCAGTAATTACGCAAATATAATTTTTGCGGGTTTGGTTGTTTATTACACGATTTTATTCCTTCATCATGGAAGTTACCCGTGAAAATTTAATCACGTATTTTATTAGAAAAATTGGTAATAGTCCTAAATATCAACAGACAACACTGGTGGTAGGACCTCTTGTGTTTCGGTTTGAAGGGTGGGGCAGCCGTTGTAACTATATTGAGACATTAGAACTTTATCTCAAAGTGTGTGGCGCATTTACGTTGTAGATGTCTATGGGTTCCAGTAACCATTTAAGACCAGGTGGGCTGTGAGCTCGTCCACACACCTAGGCAATAAATAAAAAAAACAGACGACAACTACCTATTCGGCATTAACATTACGTCTTATTATTACTAATAACTTTTTTAATCGAAAATCGATTCCCGTTCCAAACATTGAACATCTGCATTTTCGTCTCTTTACTATATGTATATGAGGCGTCTTATCCTTATAGTCAAATAAAACGAAACAGAAATGGAAAATGAGCATCCTTAAAAAAAAAAATTTGATAATAATTCGGATTAAAAAAAACATTATTATAATTTAATTTTATAGGTTCATAGGACTGACAAGTAATTGTCAGTTGTTTTAGGAACAGTCACGTTTTTGTCAGAATATTTGTGCGTCATTACATATTTGTTTATGTAAATTATTTTCCTATTAATTGGAATAAGCTAGAGAATAAATTGTTTTAATTAGAATCTTTATTATGTATATTAATTGCTTAATTGGTTAACTTTTGTATATATATGTACTTAAAGTTTATTTTAAAAAAACTACAGGAATTAGTTTATTCAATTTAAGTCCCATCAAAACAGGTTCGAAATTAATTTTAAGACGAAAGACTCTTTGAATTTAAAAAAAGTATTTAATGTTAAAAATATTGTATAGTTTGCAAAGTTTTTCGCGCGGATGGTATTTTCTATTAAATCTTGTTTCGACTGTATATATTATATTATCTATGTACTATATTATCTACTATGACATTCCTCAACAACAAAAAAAACGCCTACACATTAACTTCTTTAATGCTTATGTATCTTTTTAATTTTATTATTTTCCTTAATCTATCATTTTAAGTTAGAGGAAAACTTCTCGCGACTTTTTTGGTATATATCATATCTGATCAACTATTTATGGAAACAATATTTATTTGGAAATATCTAAAACATTTTTAAGACCTTTGGCGCTTATCATGGAGCACTATACTTAACGATTTCAGATCAGTAAGCACGCTATTATGTAGCTTGTGTTAATTGGTTGTGTTAAATTGCTGTAAAATACGGATATACGGACGAAAGAAAAGAACATTTTTGACCATTTTCTTACACAGCTAGAGTGACAATTATTTTTGTATAAAAACCAGAACAAGGAGCAAAAAAAAAACATTTATTTTTAAACAGTACGAATGGTCACCGTATGTATACATAAGTAGCCCTAAAATCGATACGAAATCAAACACATACAAAGTAGACTATATTAATTTAGGTACATTCATGTTTTTTTTTTCTTTTTTCCTGTCTATGAAATGACTATATCCTCATCCTCGCGTCGTTTTCCTCATTACTGAGGGTCGTGACTCTCCCGCTGCATCAGTTTCTTCCGTACGATTTCCCTCCATCTTCTACGATCCTTAGCTTTGTGGAAGGCATTGTGGAAGTTGATGTCCAGAGAAGATCGTATTTGGTCTGGCCATCTCGTAGGACTGCGTCCTCTGGGACGTTTGCCATCTACCTTTCCCGTCACCGTCAGCTGTTCAAGATGACTATATAGATACAAGCTAAATTATGCACTGTCTTTTGGTGAGATTCTTAGAAAACATAGCAAAAATATTTATTTACACATTAGCTAACGGTTGTTCCTTGAAATCAAAATCTCACAGACGTAAGGTCAAATAAACAACATTAAAATATTGAATGATGAGCGGGTGCGTCACGCGTATAGTCATTCATTCAAGTTTCAAACATTTGAAACATTTCACTTCACTCAGTCATCCAGCGATCGCTCGCGTCGATAGTCGTGTTAACACATATTTCTTAAAACTACGTAACTCGCAAATATTGTAACAAAATGTGTAAGTTGACGGTATTAGGAGTGTTTTTGACTGTTACCTATGTTTACAGTCACACTTATCATTTAGGATCATGTCCCATTGTTGAGCCTATGAGCGGTTTTGAGATGAACAGGGTGAGTCTTTGTTTCATTTATTGTATGAGGTTATCAGCTTTAGGTCAACAATACTTAACACTGGAAGATTGTTATTTATGGAAAAGTGTACTACTGTGATTGAAATTCTAAAACAATAAAACGTTATTTGATCGTCACTTTTACTGTTCATTCACAGTCTGTTAATATTTTTGTAATAAGTCGTCAGTCTATGATCCTCTTGCACTATATTGTTTTAATTCATTTTGTTATGTATATTTTAGGAAATGAATAGTTCATTACGCGTAGACGATAGAAAACTGAAAACAGAATAGGTACCTACCTATATGTTTTGTTGTGAATTAAAATATTCACACTATATAGTTACAATTTACTATATATTTATTGACTATTATATTTAAAACGTTAACTTCATTGTTTTGATTTGATTAAAGTACTAATAATTTTCTTTTTCGTGAAAACTATAAAAACGATAAACGATAAAAAACTTTATAATGCCATGAAAAAAAACATTTAACATAGGTAGGTGCTAAAAAACATTTTTTACGATTTCGATTCCGAATACCTCTGATTTTTTTTATTGCTAGATGGTTGGACGAGCTCACAGCCCATGTGGTGCTAAGTGGTTACTGGAGCCCATAGACATCTACGACGTAAATGCGCCACCAACCTTGAGATATAAGTTCAAGGTCTCAGTATAGTTAGTTACGACGGCTGCCCCACCCTTTAAACCGAAACGCATTACTGCTTCACGGCAGAAATAGGCAGCGTGGTGGTACCTACCCGCGCGGACTCACAAGAGGTCCTACCACCAGTAAAAGGCGAATTGGCGGTATTTACGTTATGTTAAACATAAATGATCTATGGCCCCGGTAAAAAATGAACACCAAATGTTTCCTTATCTACTGTTATAATAACAAAAATTTAACAACGAAAAATCTCGTTCTACAAATCTGGTATAACCCCTCGAGGCTAGAATAGATAGAAATAGATAGATAGAATAGATAGACGAGAAATTTTAATGCTTGTAACAAATAATTTGTTAACTTACTTTCTCTCTTAAGTAGTACAGAGCATGTCAAGTCTATTAACATTATCTCTTTGTATATTCTATGCCTTACTTAACTAATCATCGAATTGTGACGAAACTTTCTAGCTATTTCTGGCGCTCTAGGAAGATCATGAGCTAAGAATCGGGTTCGAGGCAAAAAATATCTATTGTCGACTTTGCATTGGGGATTCTTTCGGAAAAAAGGGTACGCGTAATACGATGCGTAGTGCATGCTAGACAAAATCGATTAAATAATACGAACCCTTAAAATACCTTAGAGTAAATTTTGTGAATCATAATAATGTGTATATAATATTTACCACCCCGCCTATTTCTGCCGTAAAACAGTAATGCGTTTCGGCTTGAAGGATGGGGCAGCCGTTGTTGAGACCTTAGAACTTATATCTCAAGGTGTGTGGCGCATTAACGTTGTAGATGTCTATGGGCTCTAGTAACCACTTAACACCAGGGGCAGTGCGCTCGTTCACTCATCTAAGCAATAAAAAAAATCCACATCATGTATGACCAGTGGCGGTATTGATAACCGTAAAAACAAAATCATTACGATAACAAAAATAAATATATATTTAGGATTGGTAAGAACGGTACGTGTGTAAAGAATGTGGAACAGAGCTTTAAGATGTGAGTGAGAGGAAACGGTAAGAAAAGGAAAAGAGAATGACAGAGAAAAGGAAGATGGCGAAGGCGATTGAATGAGCAGAGCGTAAAAAAGGTGTCAGTTAACCCTTTGATTGCCATGTAATTATGACGCTTTCTGCTACTAAGGCGTTGGAATTTCTGGTAGACTCTCGGAAAGACGAATCCGAAGATACTGAGAATGAATATATTTCTAAGAGACCTAAAAGACTAAAACATAGATTAACAAATAAGAGAAGGTAACGTTAGGCAATCCAGGCGCCTTAGTAACAGAAATAATCAGAAATAATTACTTCAGTGCGCCGCGTAGGGTTGCCCTACATGGCATTTAAAGAGTTAATTTTTTTAAGGGATTTTATGACCTGGTAACTAAGACCTTTAGGTCAAGTCTTATTTTAATTGATATTCTTAATTATATGAATAATGATAATAAGGAGTGAAATGAAAGGAAGATGATTAATTTGAGACATTAATCAACTGAGATGAAATAAAATGAAATGAAATAAGATGATATGGGATGAAATATAATCTCAGTAAAATGGTAGTCATTCACTGAGATTCTTTCAGTGGACTTTTTGGAGGATCCCGAGAAGTTACGTCCAGCGGCTTTGTTTCATTTTTCCACATTTGTGCACTTTCACAGATATTGAACAGTTAATAAACCACAGTTATTACACATTTAAACCTGAAGAAACACTAAATAGACAAAATAAAACAAATCAAACAACTTCACTCCTCGCGTTCCCGCCAAAAAGTCCTCAAAGAGACAATAAAAGTGCAACAGTGAAGTAGTTTTATTTTATGCGCCATGATCCCAATTCTACTAATATATTTTTGTAATCCACAGTTGCTAGGTGTGTGGTACGTTATACAGAAGACCTCAACAGCATCACACTGCATCACGTACAACTTTAGCAGGACCGACGAGCCTGGACAATATCAGCTGGAACAGGACTCTCAACATTTCATTCTGGGATTGACGCCCTTGAAGCACGACTACAAGTAATACCGAAATATTAGGTTTTATTTAGACGTACTTTCAAAGTCATCGTGGCCTAAAGGATAAGACGCCCGGTGCATTCGTATTAAGCGATGGGATGGTACCGGCGCGGCGTTCGAATCCCGCCTACAAATACATACGATTTTCTCGCGGTAACTTCTCAGTAGGTCGCGATTCCGATCCAGTGGTAGATTCTGCGAAGCACTGCCCTTGCTAGTATTAGCAACGTCCTTTGGTTAGAGCCCCGTGAGCTCGCCTACCCGACCGGGTGTAGCTGGAATAGCCCGTTGGGCGAAATAGATAGGCGAAAAACTCGCCAAAAAATAATAAGCGTTATTACTGGCTGGCGTCTTGTGCACAGGTATCTACCACTACATTACCTATTTCTGCGGTGATGTAAGTAATCTGTTTCGGAGTGAAAGGTGGAGTAGCCGTTATACTGTAAAATCTGAGATTTAGAACTCATTCTTCAAGGCGGATGGGGCTTTATGCAATAAAAAACATAGTAAAAAAAGATTAAAGTTAATTTATAATCGCCTATTTGGCTAATTAAAAAATCTAGAATGATCACTGAATCAAATGAAAACATGCAATTACTTAATGAATTTTGCGATACATTGCATATTCATTGTAATGTCTATGAGATTAAGCGCCTTATGAATCTTATGATATCTGAATAACGTTTGTCTGTATACAGATATACTGGAGTCCTGACAGTACCTGACCCCGCTGTTCCTGCAAGGATGAAGGTTCGATTCCCTCTGAGTAAGTTTTTTTTTTAAATCTCAAGCTGACGTAAAATAATTAGGACAGTAAAATATATTATGGTTTTTTTTGTAGAAGGATGCGATGTGCACAGATAACTTTCACCAAAATGAATAAAGATTGTATAGTGGATACTTACTGCGATGAGAATATTAAAACATGTTCGAAAGTTTGAATTCAATTTTTTTTTATTTTTTATTGCCTTTGTAGGCAGACGAGCGTACGGCCCACCTGATAGTAAGTGGTTACCGTCGCCCATGGACTTCAGCAATGCCAGGAGCAGAGCCAAGCCGCTGCCTACTGAGCCAAGCCGCTGCCTATTTTACGCAATGCTTTTAAAATTTGACACGCGGAAACTGATAGCTTACTCAGTGAGTTTCTCGATGGATCGCGATTCTGATGCGGTATTAATTCAGCGAAGCACTGCTCGTGCTAGGGCTATTGTAATTCGCAAGGTAAGCCCTTTGAGCTCGCCTATCGATTCGTCAGTAGCTGTAATAACCCTTTAGATTACCAGCGATTTACAGGTGGTAGGACCTCTTGTGAGTCTGGACGGGTAGGTACCACCATCCTGCCTATTTCAGCCGTGAAGCAAAATTACATTTCGGCTTGAAGGGTAGAGCAGCCGTTGTAACTTTACTGAGACCTTAGAACTCATATCTCAAGGTGGGTGGCGGCATTTACGTTATAGATGTCTATGGGCTCCAGTAACCACTTAACACCAGATGGGCTGTGAGCTCGTTCACCCATCTAAGCAATAAAAAATAAAAAAGATTAGGTAACAACAACAAAAAAAATCGTTCAGGCGTTGCCGGCTCAGCAAGCTACACAGTTTTGGCAACGGACTACACAACATACGCCGCGGTCTTCACTTGTCAGAAGTTAGCGTTCGCTCATAGACGATCTGCCACTATCCTCTCGAGAACGAAAGAACTCGACAAAATGTTTGTTGATAAAGTAAGTATACAATGCAATACCAAATGCTTCTAATTTGCAGTTCTTTTAATAATATGCTTAAACCTTCGTTGAAGTTGTCGTGGCTTAAAGGATAAGACGTCCGGTGCATTCCTATCTGATTGACGGCGCAACGGCGTTCGAATCCCGCAGGCGGGTACCAATTTTTCTAATGAAATACGTACTCACTTAACAGATGTTCACGATTGACTTTCGCGGTGAAGGAATAACATCGTGTAATAAAAACCAAACCCGCAAAATTATAATATGCGTAATTACTGGTGGTAGGACCTCTTGTGAGTTCGCACAGGTAAGGTACCACCACCCTGCCTATTTTAGCCGTGAAGCAGTATTGCGTTTCGGTTTGAAGCCGTTGTAACTATACTGAGACCTTAGAACTTATATCTCAAAGTGGGTGGGCGGCATTTACGTTGTAGATGTCTATGGGCCCCGGTAACAACTGAACCCCAGGTGGGCTGTGAGGAAAATTGTTTTTTTTTATATATTTTTATTGCCCTTATAGTCAACCGAGCGTACGGCCCACCTGATGGTTGGTGGTTACCGTCGCCCATGGACGTCAGCAATGCCAGGGGCAGAGCCAAACCGCTGCTCACCGCTTCTAAGGTGCTGCCTAGCGTTACCAAGCCGCTGCCTACCGTTTTGTTCAACGAGACGACTTAGACCTTACGATCGTATACAGGGTGTAGGTGGGGTGGGATCTAATTAAAGTGGCTAGCAGACTGTGCTCTCCCCTGAGAATTGAGTTGTTCGTAGTTGATCCGAAAATTATTGTTTTTTTCGTATACAATTGCGAACTATCTATATAGTTATATTAATACGTGAAGCAAAAACTTTGTATCCCTTTTTACGAAAATTGCGCGGACGGAGGAGTATGAAATTTTCCACACTTATAGAGAATATAGAGAAGAGGTGCACAATGCTAATATTTTTTTAAAATAATGCATAAAAGATACATTAAATCAATAAAGAAAACATTACACACACTACATACCATGTATTTGACGCACACACGCATGCATACTATTTATTGTCAATCTTTTGTCCTTGACGTCTGTTGTCAAATTGAGAATAGATTAAATATTGTCTTTATTAATATTTTTTTATAGTGTAGTCTTGGCGAAATTTGTGATTATAGAAGTATAAAATACCAGCATAATAGTGTACAAACTTACAATTCCAATTAATTATAGTCGAATTTCGACTACTGCGGGACCTCTAGTAAACACTAAGAAGGTAACTTTTTCGTTCGGATACCTGTGTGGTTAGTGCGAGTCTTCTAACGTTCTCGATAGCGTAAAAGTTAACTCAAATTTGTATTGAGTTGGAGCGTTTGCCTATGTTTGCCGCTAGGGGCGCTGTTGCAACTCCATACAAATTTGAGTTAACTTTTACGCTATCGAGAACGTTAAAAAACTCGCACTAAGCACACTGCATTGAGCCTACAATGAGTGCACATGTATATATAAGCATATATGTGTGGGCAGATCGATATTTTTGAGTTTTAATTTGCATGTTATTTTTATAGTCTTTAGTTAGTTTACTTTGGCACAATAATTTGTTTTCAAAAGAAAATGAATGTCAGTGTTATTTGAAATAAAGATTTTATTGTTAAAATCCACTAGATTTCGCCCTACGATACCAGATACATTAGTATACATGTTCATTCCACAGATGCGTACAAAGCTTTCTTCGTATGGAGTGGACCCTTATGATCTTTCGATCATATCACAGAACGAATGTCCAGGTCTACCCGACGGCGTATCTGAAGGCGTGAACATAGATATAAACCCCGAGACTTTCTCGTCTCACAACATCGGCGAAGCTGTCAGGAAAACTGGCGGAGCTATTGGTAACTTAGTTTGAACATTTCATTGATAAGTATGTAAAAAAAACCTTTACTGGTAAGGTAAGGACCTCTTGTGAGTCCGCGCGGGTAGGTACCACCATCCTGCCTATTTCTGCCGTGAAGCAGTAATGCGTTTCGGTTTGAAGGGCGGGGCAGCCGTTGTAACTATACTTGAGACTATAGAACTTATATCTCAAGGTGGGTGGCGCATTTATGTTGTAGATGTCTATGGTTTCCAGTAACCACCAGGTGGGCTGTGAGCTCGTCCACCCGTCTAAGCAATAATGTAAAATTCTTTAGTTTAAAAAAATACATTTTTCTTAGACTTATTGACTGACTTGACTGCCATTGAGAAAAAAAGGAGTTCAGTTTACATAATTCAATAATACTGTTTAAAATAATAATTTAAAAAGGATATATTTAAAGCCTTTAATTTAAGCCTCTTTTTTCTTTGTTTTCCTTTTGTTTTCCTTTGTAACAATATTTATGGCCAGACTAAGTAAATATATTATGCAATTGAAACTTATATCTCATGTCTTAAAATGGATGGCGGTATTTGTATACACTGTATTGTATTTAAGCAATAAAATACCATTGTTTGTACCATTCCATGTATACCTATTTTGGGCCATTGTAAATTAAAAACTTTTTTATATTAATAACGTATTTATTACAGCTGACGGCGTGGAATACGTTGTGGAGGCTGGAAAGAAGGTGTACCACAAAGTGGCTAGCAGCAAGGAGGACCTTACCGAACCACCTTCGAACCCATACGCAGTCAGACCTATGGACAGCGATGCCGAGTGGCTGCCCTAAAGGGCTAAGCGGATGCGCAAGTGACGATAGATTTTAAGAATATGATCGAACTAGCTTTTGCCCGCGACTCCGTCCGCGTGGAATAATTACTTTACCATAACGCTAAATTTTACCCCCCACTTCATTTGCGTAGAAAGTGAAAATATTTTGAAACATTCTTTATTGGTGCACTTGTATTGGTCTTACAGTGATGTTTGTATAGCCTATAGAGTTCGTCAATAAATGGCCTATCTAACACTGAAAGAATTTTTCAAATCGGACCAGTAGTTCCTGAGATTAGCGCGTTCAAACAAACAAACTCTTCAGCTTTATATATTAAAGTATCGATATAGATAAACATTCTCTTCTTCTCCCCTTCCGATTTCCTCAAGTGGACTGCAAATAGGACTAAAGTATTTATCTAAAAAAGTCGTTTTTTTATGGCTATGGTATGATGGGTGGACGAGCTCACCGCACATCTGATGGTAAGAGGTCACCGGAGCCCATAGACATCGACCATGTTAACGCCGCAATCCAGCTTGAGTCATGAGTTCCAGGTATCAGTTTTTACACTACAACGCATTACTGCTTCACGGCGGAAGTAAGCAGGGCGGCGGTACCTACCCGTCGGACTCACAATTACCTACTAGTAAACTAACTGCTACTCTAAAACTGAGCCTAATTATTATTTTCCAAACATAAGGAATTATGACGTTAGTCTGAATCCGAATGTAAAAGTTATCTATCTATCTGTCTATCTATATATATAAAAATGAATTGTTGTTCGTTAGTCTCGCTAAAACTCGAGAACGGCTGGACCGATTTGGCTAATTTTGGCCTTAAATTATTTGTGGAAGTCCAGAGAAGGTAGATAAATATGAAAATGCTCGGAATTAAATAAAAATAAGAAATATGTTTTTCCTTTGATGTGTCGCCTGTCGGACGGATTCCTTATGTTTGTTTTAAGTTTATTTTATACAAAAGCTTAGGTCTTTTATGTATCGATTGAGGCACTACGAAGTCTGCCGGGTCAGCTAGTTTTAAATATTTATTTGAAAAGCTATATTATGTCGCAAAAAGTATAATATTATGTAATAAATGTGGTAAATGTGTGAAATAATGGGCTCGGTAAATATGCATAAATGGCATTACATACAGCTGGTTTAACTATGTCTTAAATCTATTTTTTTACACATCTAATAAATGTAGGTAGTTAGTTCCTTTTGTATCTTTATAATAAATGACTAATGTGAAATAATAAATGTAAATAAAACTACGATGTTTTACTACTACACCTTCTTCTCGAATACACAGCGGTATCACCACACCTTTTATAGAGTTCGATGATGATTCGTGTATTTCACATTTTGATGCATGATTGCTTCGTGACAGAGATGGCGAAAGCGTGCGCTCGTCATGACAATCTATCGTTTCCGCCGCTGACTACTCCCCGAATCCTGATCACGCAGGATCCAGTCACCGTCCACGCCTTAAACACGTCCTTACGGATCCATCAGATCCAATAACCCTTGCATTAGACACCTTTGGCTTTAACTCTAGGAGTAGGGACCCCCGTAACCGTACTCGTCGAACTCGTCAAAGAGATCGACGTGCAACCTAACCCATGCATCAGCTCGCTGAGTTTCTCGCGGGATCTTCTCAGCGGGTCGCGATTCCGATTCGGTAGTAGATTCATTCGCGAAGCAGTTGCTCTTGAGTTTTTAGGTCTCTTTTGGAGGCACTAGGGTAGCAAATCCCATCCCTCCTGTCTGAGCCCTTGCTCGCCCTCCTGCCCTGGTCAAACTGAAAAGTCCTCCAGGCCACCAGTAATCTCTCAAACATAAAAAAATAAAAGCGTGCGCTCTTGGGCTGTGTGCTTAAAACGAATTCGGGATGCAGAAATTATGCTATATGTGTGCTTTATTATATGTACAAACGTACATATAGGTATATGTATTTTGTAAATCCGGGGTCTGACATACACGAAGTTTTCTAAATTAATGCAACTTTCTATTTCGCTCTTCGGAATTTCCGGCCCTGCTACCACGCCCTATGCTCCGCAAACCATATTTATATTTCTCATACGTACCAATACATTTTATACAAGTAACTTTTCGAGTCATCGAAAATCTCTTTGCCAATTCCTTTGTGTTCTTAATTACTGTTACCTTCAGTTGGATAAATAAATAAATAAATAACCAACGAATCCCAGTTTAAAAGGCTTTATTAAACGCAATATAAATACAATCCAACAAATTAAATAAAAAAAAATTATATTAACAGAAATGCTTTATTCGAATGCAATATACACAACGTCATGTTATCAGGCAAAATAAAGACAATACGTCATCGGGTAGAGGCGCTCAGGGCGTGCACCGCTCTAGGAAGCGAGGGTAGAGACACACGTCCCGGATGTGGTAGCGGTCCAGGAGCCAGCAGAGGAAGCGCTCCAGGCCGAGCCCGTAGCCGCCGTGAGGCACCGAGCCGAACTTGCGCTGGTCCGTGTACCAGTAGTACGGGCTAGGGTCGATGCCTTCGCGTTTGTAACCTGGAACATTCCAAGTGAAGATTTACGACTGGACGTTATGGAACTTTTTTATTTATTTATTTTTATGATTGAAAGATTACTACTGGTGGCCCGAAGGCCTTTCCAGTTTCACCAGAACAAGTGGGCGAGCAAATGCTCAGCCAGGAGGGGTGGGATTTGCTAACAACTGCCCGAGCGCCTCCGAAGTAGACCTAACAACTCAAGAGCAATTGCTTCGCGGATGAATCTACTACCGAATCGGAATCGCGACCCGCTGAGAGGATCTGACGAGAAACTCAGCGGGCTGATGCATGGGTTAGGTTGCATGTCGACCTCTTTGTCGAGTTCGACGAGTACGGTTACCGGGGTTCCTCAGCCTGCTCCTAGTGCTAGAGCTGAAGGTATCTAATGCAAGAGTTATTGGATCTGATGGATCCGTAAGGACGTGTCTAGGGCGACGAGGGTGACTTGCTCCTGCGTGATCAGGATTCGGGCAGTAGTCAGCGGCGGCAACGATAAGACCATTATCATGACGGCACCGGCGTTATGGAACTCTAAGCCGAGACATACGTCTACGTATAGGATTTAGCGGGCGAAAGTGAGACAAAATACGGAAGGTTCCGAAGGTTACATAGCGGACGAGAGTGAGATAGAATACTGAAGGTTATTTAGCGGCCGAGAGTGAGATAGAATACGAAGGTTATTTAGAGGACGAGACTGAGATAAAATACTGAAGGTTATTTAGCGGGCGAGAGTGAGGCAGAATACTGAAGGTTAATTAGCTGACGAGAGTGAGATAGAATACTGAAAGTTATTTAGCGGGCGAGAGGGAGATAGAATACTGAAGGTTATTTAGCGGCCGAGAGTGAGATAGAATACGAAAGTTATTTAGAGGACGAGANAATACTAAAGGTTATCTAGCTGGCGAGAGTGAGATAGAATACTGAAGGTTACTTAGCAGTCGAGAGTGAGATAGAATACTGAAGGTTATTTAGCTGGCGCGATTGAAGTAGAATACTGAAGGTTATTTAGCGGGCGAGAGTGAGATAGAATACTGAAGGTTATTTAGCGGGTGAGAGTGAGATAGAATACTAAAGGTTATTTAGCGGATGAGAGTGAGATAGAATACTGAAGGTTACTTAGCAGTCGAGAGTGAGATAGCATACTGAAGGTTACTTACTTAGCGGCCGAGAGTGATATAGAATACTGAAGGTTATTTAGCGGGCGAGAGAGAGATAGAATACTAAACATTTGTGTGAATGTTATATCTTTTTGGTGACCTTTTATAGCGCTGTTATTGATTACCGGAATATGCTTTTCAGGTCTTTGGGATAATAAAGATCCCATAATAAGTAAGTATAGTTTTAAAATATAAGCAATGCGAGCCAAAAGAAAAATAAGTAGTGTGTATTTATTATGCTATAATATTATTGTATTATCTTATAGTTTGTCAAAACTACGGTGAACGATTAGATATGTTATATAAATAGTTTTTTATTTATTGCTTAGGTAGGTGAACGAGCTCACAGCCCACCTGTGGTTACTGGAGCCCATAGACATTTACAACGTAAATACCACCACCCACCTTGAGATTATTTAAAAGATTTCAGTATAGTTACAACGCTTGCCCCACCCTTCAAACCGAAACGCATTACTGCTTCACGGCAGAAATAGGCAGGGTGGTGGCACCTACCCCTACCACCAGTAAGGAGTACAGGTTAAGGTAACGTAAGCGTCTTAAACTGATCATAAGGCAGCTCTTATAAGTTGTATTGAGACCTGGCGCCATCGTTACCTTCCATCAGCTCCTCGTGGTCCCATATCCTCATGGAGCCGCCGACGATTTCCCCGACGCCCGGCATCAGCACGTCGACGGACTCGGTGAGGCGGCGGTCGTCCACGCAGCGCGACATGTAGAACGACTTGATCTCGGCCGGGAACTTGCACAGCAGTATCGGCACGCCAATGGCGTCCGTCATCTTCCGCTCCGGCATTTCCGGGATGTCCTTAAATAATACCTCGCTTTTTTTTCCTACCAAGCTGATGATAGCCTTGAGAGGCAATTTCAGCGTAACCCCACCTAGACACAGCTGCGTTTCCGATCCGGTGGTAGATTCTGCGAAGCACTATGCGGCTAGTTAAATTTACTACCAAAGTATCCAAACTAGCAAACCTACCAAATTAAACTCCCAAAGCTATAGGGCTGCAGAAAAAAATATTTCATAAACAAATTGATTTCCGGGAATTCCCCCAATAATAATAAAAGATAGCTTCACTTTTAAATGGTTTCATGGGAATGGCACGTTCCAAGAATAAAGTTAAATTATACCAGATATTGCTTGTATGTTTTGACAAAAAATCCTATTATCCAAACTATTCATATCCAAAACTATTTTCAGATTTTAGCCGTTAGAAAACGAAGACGCTGGCCGTTCTTTGCATAGACCTGATCTAGCATATAAGCTTTGATAATTCCTCAAATAATATTGTATCCTTTTAGTAAGACCGTAGCATAATTTTTCACCTCTCCAAACTCGTAGAAGGATCCGTCTTCCTTCGTAATGTTGTTGGCGCGGAGATACTCTATCGCTTCTATGTACGTCATACGTTTGAAAGGTTTCTGTGGTTTCTGAGAAGTATAAAAGAAAATAAAAAAATATTAAATAGATAAATCAAAGTATGTACTAATTTTGCTAATATATCGTAGTACCATCAATCTGGGATAGATGGCGCTCGACTCATAGTTTTGTTTTTATTCTCAGTTGAAACAGCAAACATTTTAATGTGAATCTGGACTCTCGTAATATCGGTCACTCATATTCGCACGAATACGCAAACCCACAAGTGTAGGACGATATTTGCAAATGATTATGCAAAGTTTTAGCTGCATTCGCGGTTTTCCAAGCTGTGTCGTTTTTTTAACGGACATCAAAGCGCGCGAACCGCGATCCTTCGCGTAGTCTCCCACACATTCGTGTGACAACGGTGACGGCGTATTCAATTGACATTGCGTGTTGAAGAATTCTGAGCTTTATAATTAATTAGTTTAAGTTTATTTTGGAAAAATAAGTCTTTTATCTGTTCTTTTTTATGTTTGAGGGTTTACTCGTGGTCCGGAGGCCTTTTCAGTTTCACAAGGACAGGTGGGAGAGCAAGGGCTCAGCCAGAAGGGGCGGGATTTGCTAACAGCTAGCCGAGCGCCTCCAAGGGAGACCTAACAACTCAAGAGTAGCTGCTTCGAGAATGAATCTACTATCATTTTTATTATTACTAGATGATGACCGAGCTTTGCTCGGTATTTTTTTTTTGATAACGCCATCTTGTTGTGTCTTTAAAGCAGTTAGTTGCTCTATTATTATTAGCCAATAGATGTCGGGAAGAGTCATAAAGTTCATTATCGATAAAGTTGATTATTGAAAACACGAACAAAACAACATTTTCTGAAAATAAATCGTAGCTAGATCGATTTATCGCCCCCGAAATCCCCTGTATACTAAATTTTATGAAAATCGTTGGAGCCGTTTCCGAGATTCAGATTATATATACAAGAATTGCTCGTTTAAAGGTATAAGATTATCTGTTCACTTTAGCTTATTGTACGAAAGCTTACGATTAGTTCTGTACGAAACAAGAGACTGGTACATACTTTAAAGTTCGGGTTGAGTTCGTATACGAGCTGTCCTTCGGGCGAGGCGAGGACCCGGTCTACGACATCCACGACCAGATCCTCGAGACGACTTAACAGATCTTCAAAAGTTATGAAGGGGCACTCAGCCTCCACGTGACTGTACCTGCGAGGAAGACCAGTTTTGTTGGTGACTGTACATAACATTATTTATACTATCATGGCCAAAAAAAGATTTTCAAAACAAGTGATAAAGAAGATACAACTTTGAAAGGGACCATCCATGATCTTCGAGAACAGTTTTATTCTTATGTACTTACTCGGCGAGATGTCTCCTCGTGCGAGACTGCTCCGCTCGGTACGACTGCGCGATGCAGTAAACGTCACCCAGAGTCGCCAGACACGTTTCCAGGTACAGCTGAGAGCTTTGAGTTAGATAAGCTTCTTCCCTGGAACATAGAATACACTAGTGTTGTATTATTACCGTTGTCAAGACAGCACTTTATGCTTTGAAGATGAAAGGCGTATTTTGAAGAAATAAAAAACGTCTAGAATCCGATTACAACGCCACCTGATAGGTCTAATTTTAAGTCGAAGCCACTCAGTACCCAAATACATATACTACAACATAGTATTTACTTGAAGTGTGTTAAGAAATCACTAGTCGAATACGCAATAAACGCAGATACTGTTTATTGCGTGGTAACTATATATCTAATTTTCATATTTATCTTAGACCACCATGTTTTTTTCCAGTTCATCACCACATCTTGGAAGCCGCCCCTACATTCGCTACTACGCTCTACTACCACCTCACATAGTTTTGCGGTAGGCAGCGGCTTGGCACTGCCCCTAGCATTGCTGAAGTCCATGGGCGACAGTAGCCACTCACCATCAGGTGGGCCGTATGCTCATCTGCCTACAAGGGCAATAAATAAAAAAAATAAAAAACATTCGAACCATTTTATCAATAGCTAATATTTTATCGGAATACAAGCTATAAAGATTAAGACATGGCAACATTAACTCACCCAAAGTAACTAAACTTGAAAAGGGTACTGCCGCCTTCGCACTGCGTTTGAACTAGGGTCGGTGGCGTGACTTCGGTATAGCGGCGGGAAGCGAAATGTTCACGGAAGGCGCGAGTCACAGCGGCGCGAGCCCGTAGGACTTTGGACGTGTTCTCACCGCGGATCATTATGTGCCTGGGAATAGAGATCAAAATCGAATACACTATAACAAATAAAGTACAGGACCAGTCCACCCAATAGATGGTGTATTGATTTAGAAAAATATATCCTTGGATTTGATCAAATCTCCACTAATCAGGGCCAATAATCCTTTTTTTCAAAAACTTTAGGCAAACATAGCCATACTCTATTCCAATTACGAGGCCCTTTTGGCACTTCTTAGAACGTAACTCTTCACGTTTCGCATATTTTGAAATAATATTCATTTTTTTGTTCATGGTCATAGACATCATTTAAAAAATACACAATCATTATACATATCAATCTAAATCATTATACAATTAATTCACACACACAATAACATAATAATAACATCTGTCAAATGTGTCTTCGTAATTAGAATAGAGTATAAATTTTGGTATATTTTCATTTTGTCCGCACGGGTGGGTACCACCACCCCGCCTATTTCCGCCGTGAAGCAGTAATGCGTTTCGGTTCGAAGGGTGGGGCAGCCGTTGTAACTATACTTGAGACCTATTGAGGCGTATTTACGTTGTGTATGTCTATGGGCTCCGGTAACCACTTAGTACCAGGTGGGCTGTGAGCTCGTCCACCCATCTAAGCAATAAAAAAAAAAAATTAAATTGCAGTTTTTGAACTATGATTGTAGAAAAAAAAACTTGAATAAACTTGATAGTTTGCCATTCTTTCACAATGCCAGCCAACATACATTTCATATTGAGGGGAATTTGCATGATTTTCGTAAATTTAAAAACAATGGGTACAATTTTATATCAACTTCATGAAATAACCAATCCAATCACAGTTAGTTTATAAAAACCTGTCTGGCCATTTAAGTGCTTAATGACAAGCAAGCATACACATATATAGGAAGATAACAATCATAATGTGCAGATAGAAATTACTACAAATATTGGACTAGTTACACAATAGAATCATTTATTACAATTATTTGTTTTAAAGCATCACAGTTATCTACATCACTTATGCTAACATTATACATTATACACATTGAAGAAATCTAGATTAACATTTCCCATTGATGTTAAGGTAGTAATTTATTGCTATTTTGGCTTCGAGGAGTCTTTTGTAGCCCTCACATTTACTACCCTACACCTTCAATCTCTCTCTGTGTGCATACCTATTAATAAAAACTATGGCTTAATTTGACTTATCATTTCTAGATATTATAATGAAAATAATAAATGCCAGATTAATTTAGACCTAAAGTTGTTCTAGTTATATCTACGACTAGAGAGAACTGAAGTAAACACTATACACACCTATTGTCTAATTGAACGTCAGGCAAGGCTTCCTCATTGAGGATGGCGTCAGCACCACCTGGCGGTGCGAGTCCAATCAATTCCCAGTAATCAGCTGTCAGCTCATGACCACCAGGAGCCTGGGAACAATGAGATATTACGAAACTAAAAATGAAATGTTAAGTTCTATACAAATAAGCATAAAAAATTTAATAGGAGTAAAACAGGTGATAACAAACAATTACCTTCTTTCCCTCGGGCACAGCCTCTAATTTTCCATACAAGACCACAGATGACTCTGTAGATAGGACTAGAGCATTGTAGGTCTGACAGAGTGTACCATGTAGAACGCACTGTAGGTACCCAGTACCATCACGCAGGGTCAGGAATGCCAGAGATTTACCTTGACGCCGGAGACGATGTACCCACCCTCTGATGCATATCCTCTGACCACGGTGTTCAGTTGCTGCAGACATTTGTTAATGAAATATAATTCGTCAATTAATAAAGAGATAACACATTTTAAGATGTTACAGGAGCCCATAGTCTTTGATATCCTTGTAAACCTTGAGATGAGGTAAATGGATAAAGAGACAATGTCATTTTGTTGCTCAAATTGTGTCCAATAAAGAGCATTAAATAACTTTAATAAGTAACCAGAATGGCTGCATAATTTAAATTCATATGAATCTCTTAGTAAGTAGATGGGGATGATTGTTAGGCAATTAGGCACAATTTCACAATATCAGTGCTAAACATAAAATCTGTGCAATGTTTCACTGTTAAGATTTATTTTTGGTTCAGGTGCTTTGAAACTTGAGTAATAACTAGTAAAGATTTATTTGATTTTTTATATTTTGAGGTATACATAAGTTGTACAAAGGTGAGTTTTCTTTCAGTGAGTATTTAATAATTGAAATTATAAAAAATTGCATAACATACTATTCAAATACTATATAATACTGTTTAAGCTTAGTATTTGTACCAAGTTATAATATTAATCATTCAAAGGAATTACTCACTTTCACATATTTTCACAACAGTGGCCTTTGGTAAACTTGGATCCTCTTGCAGGAGAATCTTCTTTGCCTCATCTAAGTTTTGAGATCTCTTTTCATTGTTCTCCTCTTCTGCCTTAGCTTTGTCCATCGCCTTATAGTTCTCGCGGACCCAAATCTTTTGGATTTTCTTCAATTGAGATTTTGCTGCTACATCATAATCTTTAGTGTCATCTTTTGAGTCAACATAAATTGTGGGAAATGGTTCTTTGCCAGCATGATGCATTGCTTTCAAAATTGTCTTGAATGGTTTCTCTTTCGTACCATCACCTGTGTCGTCATTGCCATTCTTATCTGAGGTATATATCTCGGCTAGAAAAAAAATATGTTTTTTTTAACACTATTCGTACCAACACTTACTGGTACCTATTTCTGCCATAGCGGGTAGATAGCGATATACAACAAATATTACTCAAAATAAACAAAACAAAAAATATATATAATAACTGTATATTAATTGGTAAGAAAAAGTCATGAAGTCAAATGCGCAAAAGCAATAAGTTGATGCGTGAATTTTCAATGCAAAAGTTCGAAATGGGTCATTTGACCCATTACGGTAAGTTTAGTGTTAATTATGGATCTGATGTAATCTTACAACATTTTTATGATCAATGCAAATTCTTAAAAACTTAGTAAGGCAGTACATACTACGTTATTATTGCGGTTTAGGGAACATTATTCCAAATAAAAGTTTTGTGATACAAATGATGAAAAGGCATAAAACAGTGAACCATTCCTTAGGTGCTTTTTCTTACGTGTTTCAGTTTAAATGTAGAATATTTTGTATTACATAATGAAAACAACAACACCCTGCACACAAGTGTAGGGTGACTATACGACCAGAATTCCTCTTTACGTTTCTTTTTTAATATTTTTAGAAATCAATAAACGTTTTGCATACGTGTTTAAAGTAAGGTTATTATAGTAATAATACTCACACAAACTAAGGTTTCCAACGTCCGGCATGTTGAAAGATTACTCACTAACTATTACTCTTTGTAAATTCTCACTTAATTACTTCCTTTTGAAATAAAGTACTGGAAAAATTAAATTCACCGACAAACACCCATGCAAATCGACAGATGGCTGAATTTAAGAATTTTGACATTTGACAATTTGACAGGATTGTTGACGCTAGTGGTGCGATGAATGACTTAAAAATTATAGCGCGCTGATTTATTATTTAGAATGCTTATTAATTAGCATATCCTTACACATCATTACACAAATTAAAAAAAAAAAAATACGTCAAGGTAGGTACATAAAAGTTATTACTTAAGGTCGAAAAGCACAATAAAGCTAAATGCATATTGAATGTCATTACAAAGTTGGAAAAAGAATAAAAGGTATAATGAAGACATAGTGTTGGTTAAAACAAAAACAACGAAGTGTAAGTGTAAGTACACTTCGTTGTTTTTGTCAAAGCAAATTTTAGATGATCATAAAAAATGCAACTGAATTATATAGTCAGTTATGTTACAAATACATAATCTATGTTAATTTTAAATCAAGTTTTTAATTCAAGGAGACCGAGTTGTTTTGTAACTTATTTTCATAGTTTCAATATTTTTAACTAAAAGCATGTTGGTGCGGTATAGAAGCGTGCCAACAATAAGCTTATTTTAATTTTCCTATGGCTTTAACATCACTATACCATGCATTATTTGATATAAACGTCACCTTAAAATATTACTGGTGTATGTTTACGTATTAAATACCTATATTAAAGTGCATGTGGTTTAAACGCAACTTCATACATTATTGCATCATTTTTTCTCAGAGCAACCGTACTATGACTAAAGAGAATAAAGAATAAGAGAATAGTAAGGTTTTGTTTTATAGAAGCAGAGAAGAGTATGTTAATTTTTTTAAACGTGTTATAAACGTTTTACATTTTAAAACTTATCAGAGAGCCAGTGATTCTCAACCACTGTTCCGCGGCGCTTTTGTGTGCCGCCAAATTTCAAAAGTGTGCCGCCAAATTTTGCGAATATATAATAATGTTAATATTATTAAATTATATCATTTGAAAAGAAAAATATTATAAACATGAATATATATTTAAATCCACAAAAAAAAAATTACAGTATATTTTGGTTTATTTCGTATATTAAAATATTTTGATAAACTATTTATGCAGTGTGTTGTAGTAAGAAAATAATTTTTCTTTTTTTTTGTGTGCCGCCAAATTTTGAAATCGTTAAATATGTGCCGCAACAAAAAAAAGGTTGAGAATCACTGAGATAGACCGTAAGCTCTTCCATCTATATAAGTGATAAAAAACTATTGTGTAAAGGTTGGGACATCCTTCAAATCAGAACGCATGACTACTACTGGTGGTAGGACCTCTTGTGAGTCCGCGCGGGTGGGTACCACCACCCTGCCTATTTCTGCCGTGAAGCAGTAATGCGTTTCGGTTTAAAGGGTGGGGCAGCCGTTGTAACTGTAACTATACGTGAGACCTTAGAACTTATATCTCAAGGTGGGTGGCGCATTTACGTTGTGGATGTCTATGGGCTCCAGTAACCGCATAACGCCAGGTGGGCTGTGAGCTCGTCCACCCATGTACCTAAGCAATAAAAAAAATTACATAGCAACGAAAAAGTATAGTTGGGCATAGACATCAGTGTGCTTAGTGCGAGTTTTTGAACGCTCTTGACGACGTAAAAGTTAACTTGTATGCAGTTGGAACAGCGCCTCTAGTGGCAAACGTAGGCATACGTTCGAACTCCATACAAATTTGGGTTAACTTTTACGCGATCGAGAACGTTAACAAAACCAAGTCGTTCCTTCGTTATATCGGTTACAAGCGACCACTTTGAACGACTAACCCAATGGTTCAAACGTAGAATGAGTAAATTTTAATAATTTCATAGATCAGTTTTGAAAACTATTCACGAAGATTCGTCTGTAATGTGAAGTCAAGGATAAGTTAATGTGTGTTAGCTCCAAGCCATTCCGTCTTGCTAGTGTTCGCCCAAAGATCGAAACTCTTTCGTAATCACTGACACCCTAATATCCATATTCACTAAGAAAAAAAATCGATTCACAAAAGGTGAGAAAATGGCAAAAAAAATGGTCTTTCACTATTTATTGACAGCCTCTTTGATTTTTTTAATGATTGGTCTTTTTTTGCTTTCTGAGTTTTACGTATCTATATGAAAACGTTTTTGTTTGATTGAGTAATATAATAAATGCACTTATTTATACATGTATAATAAGTTATCTTAACTGGCGTTGGCATTTAACTAAGGAAGGATTTTTGAAAATCTCAGGTTCAATGAGATAAGATATGGGGTGAACGATTTGATGGGATTCGCTTATTTTTAGTATATGAAATTCCACATACCTACCTGTTACCGGTTAGAAATAAATGTAGACGTGCATTGGCGTAAAATTGTACCTCTAACAGGCTGATTTGGGGATTGAAAATTTATGTTAGAAGTTTGTCGCTTTTACTGGAAGAAGCATAAAATTCAGTTTTAAGACTTTTACAATGTGCTGATTTACCCATGCAAAATCGGGACAGACGATAAATTTGTATATTATTACTAGCTGACCCGGCAGACTTCGTAGTGCCTCAATCGATAAATAAAAAATCTAAACTTTTGTATAAAATAAACTTAAAAGAAACAAAAGGAATCCGTCCGACGGGGTACACATCAAAGGAAAAACAAAACTGTTATTTTTATTTAATTCCCAGTATTTCTATATATTTATGTACCTTTTAAACCTTCCCTGGGCTTCCACGAATAATTCAAGACCAAAATTAGCCAAATCGGTCCAGCCGTTCTCGAGTTTTAGCGAGACTAACGAACAGCAATTTATTTTTGTATATAGAGATGGTTAACTATATGATCTCCACTACAAAGTTATTGTCATTTAAGATTAATGCTATTGCATTTTTCTAATCTAATATTGTTAATTTCAGTTTAATATTATAGAAAATGAATAAATTGAATTATAACATAAAAATGACACTACCACTGCGTTTAAAAGCAGGTACCTTATGCGAAAATATTATAGATCATAGTTTACAGTGGTCTTGCAGCTATAATTGATTAGAACTAAAAACAAATTGAAAAGTTCTATTTTAAATGTTATTTTCGTAAATATTTAGAGTGCCCATTAAATCGAAGAATATTTGCTTTGGTAGGTTCTGGTTTCATGATCATGAAATGCAATGGAAGGTTTTTGGTGAATACGGCCTGATTTCCCTTAAGAGTTGAAGAATGAGGATCACGTGCTCGATTTGTAATTGTATTACATTGCGTGGAATTCGAGAAAATACATTAATTAATATTTTGTATATCGCACTTTTAGAATTTAAGTGGCTTAATCCAAAATTTTTGTTTTTGGTAAACGCCAAAACTATGTAATAAATTGAAGAATTGTAATTTTCCAGTTTTCGATTTCAATTTTAAGGTATGCGCTTAATTTAAAGGGATGGAAAGTGCACTTTATCCATTTCTAGACTAAAATTTAAATTTAATTTTGAATTTAAAAATGTACTTTTATAAACTGATAGAATACATGTTTATCGTTCAAAGTTTAAAACTCATTTTCTTAAAATTTATAGTTAAGTCACTTCAATTAAAAGGGTTTGTTATACTATGAAAGGTCTACTGGTGGTAGGATCTTTTGTGAGTCCGCGCAGGTAGGGTACCCTGCCTATTTCTGCCGTGAAGCAGTAATGCGTTTCGGTTTGAAGGGTAGGGCAGCCGTTGTAACTATACTTGAGACCTTAGAACTTATATCTCAAGATGGGTGGCGCATTTACGTTGTAGATGTCTATGGGCTTCAGTAACCACTTAACACCAGGTGGGTTGTGAGATCGCCCAACCATCGGAGCAATAAAAAAAAATTGTATAACCTAAGCAGTCAATTCGTGTAAATTCGTAATGTTTTTTTGGCAAATTTAAAGTTGACATCACTGCTGTACATTTTGTACTATCTATTACTACATATATATATTTCCGAATTCTCGAACCTCTCTTAATATTTCGACTTTATGACTCAGACCATTGAACAAAGAATGTTCGAAACGAGTCCCCCAAAAATACCCGAGGACCACTTAAATGCGTCATCATTTTGTATCAGAGAACTCATTCTCTGACACGTGAAGTTCGTCTAGTAAAGTCGATCGTAAACCGCGCTCGTCTGTGTCAAATTTCCAATAATCTTATTTTGGCGCGCATCAGCCATCCCGATGACAGATATATCGGCGCCATCTTGCGTACGACGCGCGCGTTCGGCCGTTCACCTGAATGGCGACGATGGTTTTATGACACCCCTATTTATTTTCGCAGTGATAAAAATAATAAGCACCTTGACCGGCATCTCGATTCGATTGTGTTAGAATATTTGATTCATTTATTTGATTTTGAATTTAAGTAATAAACTCATTGTTTTTGTCAGATACAGATCATATAAAAATCTTAAGCTTATACATATTAGTACTGAAGGTAGGCCGTATTTTAAGCCCGCACGGGTAGGGGCCGCTATCCTGTCTATTTCTGCCGCGAAGTTAATTTCGGTTTGGAGAATGGGATAGCCGTTATTTGATACTGACCTCATGTCTCAAGTGGGGCATTAACCTTCTGATGTCTATAAGTTTCGGTAACTACCTTACACTACGTGGACAGTGAGCTCTTTCCCCCTACGATAAATTATTATGGCGATGTTGATAAAGAAGAGCTGCCTTGCTCATTATTTTCATACGAGTTGGTACCACCATCCTACCTAATTCTGCCAGGAAGTAGGCGTTTCTATTTGAAGAGTGGAGCAGCTGTTATACCTACTTACTAACGGACTCGCTACTGCAGTAGTTAGCGCGCCGACTGGTACCTACGTCGAGAGTTGTAAGTTCAGTCTCCACATCGGGCAAAAGTTCGTGTAATTAACAGATTTGTTTTCTCTTTATCTTGCTGTTTAATATCTAAATATGTAAATTCTCAAATTTATATATCTATCAGTATCTATGTATCTATCAGTTTCTGCTTCCCATAGTACGGGGAATCCTTATTTGGGGTCAGATGATTGTGTGTAAAAATATACTCCAAGTTATTGTTATACAAGGCAATTAAGACTTTACACT